TAAAAATAAAAGAGAAAAACTCAAAAAGTGAAGAAGGAAGAAATCAATTGGATCAATAAACATAATCAAAAGCCCAAAAATCGAGAGAAAAATACAAAAAGTGAAGAAGGTAGGATTCGAACTCTCAACCTCTCACAACTCCTTACACATGGTCTCTTGCCAATTGTCTCATTTTATTCATTTGAAATAAAGTGGCACTAGAAACCATGTAAAGGTAGGACAAATCTAGGGTATGACAGTAGGCCTCAGAACAAATCTCTGTCAGTAAAACCAAACTTGTCAGGGACCCATTGGAATAATATTTGCCTCTTATTTAGGCAATCCACCTTATTTCCCAAGCAATCCTTTGCACCCATTAAGTTATACTAGAACCAGCCAAACAACACCATAGTGAGCAATCGAGCAAAGGTTGTGGTCCTTCCTTTCAATACAAGTGTGTAGCTTGTGATGCAGGATACTAGCATTCTTGGTGCGAAAAGTCCCCTCTCCATTTGCGTGGAATTAACTTCTATGTTATTGGACAAGGATTTGGTAACTATGACCCAAGTAAGAACCCATCAAACTCCAATCTTGTCGATCTTGTTGAAAGGAACACACTTGGCATCCCATCTAGTGGATGGGTTGCTATTATATTCCTAGCAGATAATCCAGGTTTGTTCATAGTTTATTCATACAATCAAAACTTATTTTGGTTCATATTCAAAGATTACAAAAAAAAAGAACAACATATCTCTAATTTTGTTTGAACTGCAGCGGTATGGTTCATGCGTTGTCACTTGGAAGTCCACACAAGTTGGGGTCTTAGGATGGCATGGATTGTTTTTAATGGAAACTCCCAAATCAGAAACTGCTTCCACCATCAGCTGATCTACCCAAGTGTTAATTAACTTGAACCTAAAATTTCTTTATCTTGAAGTAACATTTTGGCCTTTCTTGTTATTCAACATTGGGAAGTTATTTTTCATTAATTGATTTAGTTTATTTTTTGTAATGGTTTTAGAGGCTTGACGAAGTTGCAACTTTCTCTTTCTTTCTTTGGATCAGAGATTTATTTATACAATACGTCGTAACTGTACAATTGTATTCCATTCGTTTGAGTTATAAAATAATTTTAAATTGTCTAACTTCCAAGGAGTTTAAAGAATAAGAGCATTGGAAGGGGGAGCTAGGGTTTGAGAGGAAGAAACCATTGAAACTTGCTTTTGTTGATTTTGCTAGAAGTTCAAGGTAAGAGGGAGACTATTCAATTAAGGGTGCCTAAATCATGAAAGGGTAGAGAAGTTTTCCTTAACTTCCAATAAAATTTTAATTTTTTTTCTTCTATTTTTTGATGATGAGTATGATAAATGAATGTTTATGATTCTATTTTACCGTGGATTGATGTGATAAATTATGTATGTTGTTTTGTTATTTGGTGTTCATGAATCAATTGATCACATGATGAATTGTGTTGATATCGAGGATTTTGGGCTATAACTATGATGGATCAATTCATGATAAAAATGATGAATCACTGTTATTATGTGGATAATTGATGTGTTGATCATGTTAGACTATGATTTTATGGTGTTTTGAATGATATAACGGATAATGGTTTGAGGTATGATTGGTATGTGACGAAGAAGACGAGCAAAGCAGTGAAAACTATAAATTCATGAATTTCGTATGATGTCAATCGATTGCATGCTTATATTTTTGGAAATTTTAAATATGTCAATCGATTGCATGAGTGTATTTGATAAAAACATGACAATCGATTGCCATTCCTAATTAATCGATTGCATGGCCTCTTGAAGTGAATTTTGAGAAAGTTAGAATGTAAACAATATTGATGTCAATCGATGGACATCCCATGTCAATTGATTGACTTAGGCCAAATTTTGAAAAAAAAAATTTGTTTTGAACTATGTTGTGTTACCCGATGATTTTGGCCATAACTTTAGTTTCGTAGGTCCATATGATGTTCCGTTTGAAGTGTTGGATAACTAATGCGCAGAGCTACATCATGGTAGTATTTGGTGAGATGATTTATGTGTAGTCGTAGGTTCACTGTAGGAATTGGTGTCCTTTATTCCTATGGCGGGGATTCAGGAATGAGATGAACCTGTGTTATCAATAATTTTGTAACACGAAGGGACACAAGTTGTTCTTTATATGTTTATGCTGTGCATCTTTTCCGCTGAATTTTTTATGATGAACCACTTTTCAAACTAATAATATTGTTGAGACTTCTATGCCGTCTGTTTTCTAATTTTCTGCTGCTTATCAAATGAGTTATTTTAACCACGTGGTTCAAATATGAGTAGTTTGTTTGTTATTGAGTAACATCCTGCTTGTAGGATATGTGTGTTCCTCATGTTTTATTTCATCAATTGTCGAGTCAGGAACTAGGGTGTTATAGTTTTGATATGGTAAGATTGGTAAAGGGTGTGTGAAGATGATGGTTTTGTTAATGGTTATGGTGGAGAAAAGTGGGATATGAGATTGGTTTGTTTGAAGGTTACTAATAAGGTTTAATTGTTAGATTTATGTTGTTGAGAGTTTTGTTTGATGTTGTTGAATGTGATTTAGTTTATGTGAAGGTGTGATGAAGGTTCAAGAATGAAGAATGATGTGTGATTCAAGGTGATTGGAGATGAAGTTGTAGCTTCTTGGTGAAGGTTAGTTTAGGATGGAAAAGATGGAGTTTTTTTAGAGGAATTGTGTGTGTAAAATGTGTAGAATCCGATGTTTATTTATAATGTGAAAACATTAAGATAAAGACAAAAAAGGAAGAAAAAAATAATATAAGATATTATCTGATTTTTCTTTTACCAATCAGAAGCCATTATGACAAAGTATGACCAATCTGAAGCAAATTTATCAAAATGTGACCAATCAAAAAACGAGAATGACAAATTGTGAGATATTTTTATATTTTATGATTTTTTAGTTATTTTGTGCATAAAACAATGAATTAACTAGAAAGTTTTTTTTTAAATGTCAAAAAATAAAAAACGAAAATTATATTAAAAAACTAAAAAAAAGTCAACATTTGACTTTTTGACATTTTTTTAATAAATAAGCAAAACAAAAAGGAAAACATTGAGATTTGAACCCATGACCATGTCTTTTGATATTTTTGGACACTTAATAATTAAAGTGACTAACACTTCTAAACTTTTTTTTAAATGATAAAAATAAAAGATAATCTATAACATATATAAAGGCAATACTTGGTTTTTGGTGTAGCTTTTTTTTTTAATCAATTTTACCCTTATTTTAAAATATATAACTTACACAATAACTTCTATTGAATTACTACTATCATCTTTCATATAACTCCCTACTAATAACTTATTACATAACTTTCATGTAAAATTAATATTAAATAAAAATATATCATTATATTTATATGTGTGTGCAATAAAAAAGCGGACAGACGGGCACGCGAGTGCCCGTCTGGACGCTAGTAAAAAATAAGGGAGAAATTTTAGAGTAAAACAATCAAGAGCTCTGATACCAATATAATGGAAAATTAACATACAATAATAAATTCATACACAACGGGTATAAAATTCTTCAAACTTGTAAAAATCTATAAGGATCAACAACAAATATATGAGAGTAAATAGAATACCAATATTTTAACGTAGAAAACCTTCAATGTGAGTAAAAAATCACGGGTCGTCCATAAAAAAAGAAATATCTCTATTATAATCAAATAAGGGTTTATGAGAGTCTCAAATTGATTCACAAATTAATGCTAACAACAGTAAAATTAGAAAGTAAACTACCTTATTAATAAGAGACAAGAAGTCGAAAATACCCAAATTTGCAACTTTAATGTGAAACTAATATCTCTCAACTCAGACTTTATTTTGAAGATCTGAACAGTCCAAAAATGAGTTTGATCAACCGGTTAACGGATTCAAAATCACCAATTTGTTGAGACTGATTAAAAAAAAGAGAATAAATTCTCTATATTTTTTCTCTTTTAAAGTTGATTTTTGGCCCTTCTTTTCTCTCTCTTAACCTTAAATTAACTCTTCAGTTATTCTAAATGGATCACAAATGAATTATCGAAGTCTCTTTTTTCACATGAGAAGGAAGTCTAACTATCATCCTTTTGTTTTTTTCCAATTTATTTTTATTCTTTACATTTGTTAATTTATTTTTATTCTTTACACTTGTTAAATTTTTTATTACAAGCTTTAAAAAAAAGTCAATTTCATACTAAAACTATTTTGAAGAAGTTTTAAAAAATGTATAGCTGTGAAAGAAAGCTCATTCTTTAATATAATTATTTAAAACAAAAAGATACGCATAACTAAAAACAATTACTCTATTCTTCAAGCTAAATTTCAAATTAAAAAACAATATAATACAAAAGTTTATTCACACTAAATGTCACCATATCCACATATGAAACAAAAATAGTGGGGACATGCTACACAGCTTTTAAAACAGATAATGTTACAAGATGCCCACCCACTGATTACGATTACACATACAAGATTGAAAAACCCACCCACCGTTACAGCACACACACATCTGTGATGCAATATCAAACAAAAATAAAAAATAAAAAATAAAAAATAAAATAAAATAAGTAAAACATTTAAGCCATATCCAAACTGTTCATCCTAAAGCATATTCCAATCCCTTAATTGGCATTTTTTCTTCTTCTTTTAAGTCTATTAATTGGTGTTAATGCAACGTAACAAACACTAAAGAAATTTCTCGTAAACAGTATGTGTATCATTGTTATGAAATTTTTACTATAATTAGTGATAACTAATACTTAATTATTTTTTACCTAAAACTAAATATTCAGTGTGCATATTTACGAAAGCTACCAAATTATCACACCGCATAAACGTGTGCTATGAAAATAAATAAAACGCGTCTCTACTCTATTCCCTAGTGGTTACAGTGTTTATAGTGGAAAAAGAAACAGTGAGGGTTTTACAGAAAAAACCCAAACAAAAAACAAAGAAAAAGAAAAAAAAGTGAATGAAATGGTGCAACAGATGAATGAAGCATCACCACCGTCAACTCCTGGGAAGCTAAAACCAGAAAAACCTCATCACATTCATCGCTTCAGAATCCATTCTTCACATTCAAGGCTTACACTATTCTCCTCTCTTTTCCTCGCTTTTATTCTCCTTATTTTCCTTTTTACCTTCACTTCTCCGCCGCCGCCAACCACCGCGCCCCGCCGTGTTTTAGGTGATTCATGGGGAGGCTCTCAGTGGGAGCGGCTTGTTTCAAAGTCGGCTCGCCGGAATTCTGCCTCGGGACATACTGTTCTTGTTACCGGCGCTGCTGGATTCGTCGGTACTCATGTTTCCCTCGCTTTAAAGCGCCGCGGTGATGGTGTTCTTGGTATTGATAATTTTAATCGGTATTATGATCCTAACCTAAAACAAGCACGGAAGAGACTTCTCGAACGCGCCGGAGTTTTCGTTGTTGACGGTGATATAAACGACGGCCGTCTCCTCAAGAAGCTTTTCGATGTTGTTCCGTTTACTCACGTGATGCACCTCGCGGCGCAGGCTGGTGTTCGTTACGCTATGCAAAACCCTGGCTCGTACGTGCACAGTAACATCGCTGGTTTTGTGAATCTTCTAGAAGCTTGTAAATCGGCGAATCCTCAACCGGCAGTTGTTTGGGCTTCGTCGAGTTCCGTTTATGGTTTGAATTCGAAAGTTCCGTTTTCGGAGAAAGACCGAACGGATCAACCGGCGAGCCTTTATGCTGCGACGAAGAAAGCTGGTGAAGAAATTGCGCATAGTTATAACCATATCTATGGGCTTTCGATAACTGCGTTGCGATTTTTCACAGTTTATGGACCTTGGGGTAGACCTGACATGGCTTATTTCTTCTTCACCAAGGATATTTTGAAGGGGAAGGTGATAACAGTGTATGAATCACCAGATGGTGGAAGTGTGGCTAGGGATTTCACTTACATTGATGATGTTGTGAAGGGTTGTTTAGGGGCTTTGGATACTGCTAAGAAGAGTACCGGTAGTGGTGGAAAGAAAAAGGGTTCAGCTCAATTTAGGGTTTTCAATTTGGGGAATACTGCACCTGTTCCTGTGAGTGAGCTTGTTGCTATATTGGAGAAGCTTTTGAAGGTTAAGGCAAAGAAGAAGATTCTTCCTATGCCGAGAAATGGCGATGTTAAGTTTACTCATGCTAATATTAGTTTGGCTCATAGGGATCTTGGTTATATACCCACCACTGATTTGGAAACAGGGTTGAAGAAGTTTGTGAAGTGGTATCTTGAGTTTTATTCTACTGGGTTTTACAAGAAGGGATCTTGGTGATTCTTTTGCTTTGTTCCATTTGTTATTGCTTCTTTTTCTTTTACATTTTCGTCTTCTATTGTATGTTTGTCTTTTAGATTAGTCCATGTACATTCTTCAATTGTGATTTGAGAGATCTAATTGATATGATATTACTAATTATGTGTTTATGTTCCCTTTCTTTTATGTTTTTTTTAATTCAAATAAATGCATAGTAATCTAAAACTGTGATTGGAGAAACAATTTAATTAATTATATAAATAAGCTAGTATTGTTGAGCATTTAACTTGATATTGCGGAGAATTGTAGTCAAATGTGGGCAACATGGCGCCTCAATTGGGGCTGCGTTTAGGTTTCAACAATATCACAATTCATAACATGGCGGGCATTACCTGTAACCTTGTTATGCACTTATTCATAAGTTATTCCAGGAACTTGTTGAAGTAAGTTTAAATTAGCTTCTGAAAATCTTGACAGGTTTTTGAGTGTGGTGGTAGTATTCAAATAGAAGGGTAAGGGCTTATGTCATGACAGTGTAAACTCTTCCAAACACCCTTTTAGTTTTGATGAAGTTGTTTTGCTTTGTTTTTTTTAGGTTTAAACTAGCCTGTGCAGCTGGTGACAAATTAATTGTCTGCTTTGAGGATATAATGTAGGTATTGTTGCTATATGATTCTGTATATGTGTTTAGTTCACCAAAACTCACGGTTGAAAACCTTCTTTTTCATTTCTAACGTAGAACCAAACAAACTATTTGTTGTTTTTAGTTTTCAAAGTTAAATGAGATTGCTACTTCTTGCCATCCTGCAGGTATATATCCTATGGACTCATGCCTTGTTATAAATAAGTTTATGTCATAATTAGTGCTGTTTAATTTTAGAATTGACAATTACTAATACCATATAACCTATTTGGTTTTTACATATTAACGTGGTTTGGTTGCAGTTGAGTTTAGGGGTTGATAATAATCAACTACTTGACAAGTGATCCTTGCTATTAAGTTGTACTTGAAAAGAACAAAATGATAAACATATGTGAATTATAATGATATAAACATTCAAGGAAGTTTGATGATGATGAACTTTTGAATCAAATACTTGCCAGAAATTAATGTTTCCTTCACATTTCATTGGTAGTTTGGTCTGGATAATGGATCATATACCGAATGATTTGATATTTTTTGTGCAGATATCAGATTTTTGGGTCCTCTGCCGGAAGTAGTCCTATTTGAAGCGTCTCAGACACGAAACATGTTCAAATGCACGTGAGTAACATGACAGAGAACCTGCTGCCGCAACCCTAAAGGGGTGGAAATGCAAATTCCTTTTGATTTCTGGAACTTCCATATCAGGTAGACAGTTGTAATACCAAAAGGGTCACAATCCTTTGTTTGGAAGGCAAACAAACTTGTTGCTTTCAAACATAAAGTGACTTAAAGAAGCATTTGGTTACATATTAACTGCAGCACTAATTATGAAAATATTTCAGTTATTCATAGTCAGTACCATTTCATTTTTCTGGTGCAGATTGATTGGTGACATGTGATCTTGTTGCAACTCTTAGGTCGTTGTCCGATAGAGATTGAAGAAGCTTCATACCAAACTCACTAATGGCTTAACTGATTCTTATTCTAAATATGGGTCAAATGGCCTATTGTTGAAAGATTTAATAAGCCAAACATGTAAAATGTCACTTGTTAATAATCAAACTTATGGGACCTGATATTTGATTCATTTAATAAATGAGTTGAAGTATGTCCCTCAAGCTTTGATTGCTCATTAGGTACCTCACTCACATATATATATATATATATATATATATATATATATATATATATATATATATATATATATATATATATGTTGTATATACATATACGTATATGGATATGTATGTACATGTACATGTACATGCATCTACATGTATATATATATATATATATATACACGCGCGCGAATTATTATAAATGCAAAGTTAGAAAATAGTTAATTAAGCGTATTAATTAAAAATATATATTTGGAAGAAAAAAATTAAAATTGTATTAACAACTAAAGTGACACTTGTTTTGTGATATGGTAGTATTTTTTTTAAATTTGGATAAACGAAGATACTTGTGTTAGATAATTAATGTAAAATTTTGTTGAATCTACGTTGTTCAAACCATGAAATAAGAACATTATGACTGTCTATAACACTTATTTTGAGAGAGGAGATGGAGTTGGAAGTATAACTTTTGGGACCTTTAATTTTGTAATATCTTTGTTTTACATGGAAGAAATTTGCACCGTGAACTAGTTTGTTTCATCTATTTTGTATTTTTTTAATGGAATCAAAATTCATCTATAAGATAAGAAAAGAGAAAAGAAGATATTGTGGAAAATTCATGTTTGTCATTCTCTCTAATCTTGCCACCTCCTTAAAATGGGGTGAATTTGGTTCAAAATTTGTTTTTTTCAACCAAACTATCATATTGAACCAAATTGTTTTTCAACCAAACTGTCGCAAGCTTCAATCCGAACCGGATTATTCAATCTTGGCTTCGAACGTTATCACCTTTAACCAATCACAAAACACTTTAAAAATGATTGTGTGTAATTGATGTGTTGTGAGATGTTGAAGATGAAGAGGAAGAATCTTGGACACCTATTTCACTTTTTCTTGTTTTTTGTACACTTGAATCAATTTGTCAAATGTTTGTTGAAACAAATAACTAAACTTCTATTTATAGTAATAAACCAACCAACCCACTTAACAACTTTTCAAACAAAATGAGAATCACTTGAAAACTGCATTTGCGCGCGAACGGTCGACCATAGCAGGTCTATGCGTCGACGCATAGCCTGCAATTTTGGACAATCTAAAAAACACATCAGTATGTGTCGACCATAGGTCGGCGTGCGCTGACCCGCGGGAAAGTGAAACCTTCATGCGCCGACCCTGCGGTCGACTCAAACCTTCGTGCGCTGACCTGTGAGAAAATACACTATGTCATGCGCCGACCCTGCAGTCGACTCAAACCCTGCAAATTTGCAAAAATTCAGATTTTTGTGGTTTTCATGCATTTTGTCATGACCACATTTTATCCACATATGTTGTATGAAATATAACAGTTTAGATGAACATAGAAAGGATATGATGGGTGATATGTTGCATTTGTTTTGTAGGGGTGGAATCGACAATGCCGATTCATCCATGGTTGTAATTTGTCATCATCAGAACCTATGATCGTATGTTGTATGACAGTTTGCCCTTACAACATTTGTATTTGCAAAATATCCCATCAAAAGATACATTTTGTCCTTTTATCTCCCAATTTTTTTTACCTCATTTCTCTCTAGCTCCATCCTTTTAATTAATGTTCATCATCTTCAAATTTTTCCCAATCACAGTTTAGACAATTTGAAAGTAATGTGTTATTCTGTTACACAAATCTTTTCTTCTTCTTTTTTTTTAGCTTCCCGTTTTAAGACTATGAAGTTATGCTTCTTGCTACAATAGATAAAAGTTAGAATATGTCACTACACAAAATCTGCTTTCGTCTTCTTTCTTCTTCCTCCTTTTCTTTATTTTATGAGTTTTCGATTTTGAGCCTATCAAATTATGCTTCTTTGTACAACAGATAAAAGTTTCAAGATTTCGATTTAAGTTTGAGTTAATTTTTGTGTTTTTGTTCTGTTTCTTATTGTTGTTATGTTTGTGACCATATCTTTGTGTATCTGTTTATCTATAAGACGTCTGCAAATAAAAGTTTAAATATTTTGGTTTGTGTTTGAGTTTCTATTTTAGTGTATTTTTTTTTATTTTTTTGTTTGTTTATGTTTGTGTCCATATTTGTGTATGTGTTTATGTATTATTGATATTATTTTCACACTTTTGCATGAACGATATAATGGCAAAACCGTTTGAGAATATCACTGACATTAGTTACCAGAAAGAGCTCTGGAAAATCGCCATAAAAGTTCATCACAAATGGACAGTCCTAACAAACAACAAGGAGCACTTGAAACTCATACTTGTTGATGCATATGTAAGTTTTTGTTTTCATGTTTGTAATGCCTTTTTAAAGTTGTATTTGGTCATCAAATAGTTGTAAGGTTCTGGAATAAGTTCATTGTTTACTTAAAGTTTCCTTAACTGACGTACGCTAATGTATTTGTAAGGGATTCATATTTATGTTGTAATATCAACGACGTTGAAGGAAAATTTTGGTTCTGTTTAGCCATAAAAAAACATATAGTGTTGCAAAGTTTATCCCTCAACCAAATGATCTCATGTTCAAAATTTTCGAACATAAGTTTATCATCAAATTTACTAGTGGAATGTCTGTTTCTGATACAAACAAACATGAAATCTTTGGAAAAAAACTATATTTCAAACCTTTTGCTGAAATTATTAATAATACTCTCATATCATGTATTTATATTTATTTTGTAATTTCATTTATTGTAACCAACACCATCTTCATATTAGATGTTATTGGCATAGCTAAAGATATTGGCTATACCTAACTGAATCCTAGTCGGAAGAAATAACAAGTCTGTTGGAACAAGTAATCACAAGATTTATGAAACTAAGTTGAGAAAATTTTGGAAGTGGAGAGTGAAAGAGGATAATTGTGTGTGTGTGTGTGTGAGAGAGAGAGAGGGAGGGAGGGAGAATTGAGGGTGATAATGCAATATTTCATTATCTAGGGTGAGAGTGCACCCTACACATTTATATAGAAATTACACAATGATTGGAATACACTTTGACCAAGTACAGTAGCATAAAAAACAAAAACTTAGACTTGTAACCGGTTATGCCAAAATGGGTTACCGGTTACACCTGACACTAAAAATAAAAGAAATTAATTCAACTATTGTGGTAACCGGTTACACCATTTCTGGTAACCAGTTACGCCTTCGAAAATCAGACTTTTCCGCTACCAGAATGCATATATGCACTTGAATTACCACTCAAACTTCAACACACCACCTTAATTAAAGTGTTGCAGGTCTACCATGCCCATGCTTATCTTCAAC